CATGGACTAAACCAGGAGACTCCATTAATAGAGACAGCAGATTAGAACTGAGGAAAGGACTAAACCAGCAAAAGACTGCAAACTGGAAATGGAGAAGGGATTCCAACTTGAAATTGTGGACTGGACCAAGGGCTGAAGACTGGCTCTTCCTTAGAGCCTCCTGTCAGTCTAGACTGACCCATTAACCCTGGATTGGAAAGCCAGTTAGATCGGGAGCTTGGAAAACAAAAAGCGGAAATCAACTGAGGAACTGACCAATGACCCTTGGAAACAGCAAGAAAGACAGTGAACTTAAAAGGGTTCATGGGGTGCCACACCTGTGCTTCTTGTTGCTTCTGAATGCCATCAGAGGTTCACTTTGGATCCCATTGCTGCCACCAAATCTGTTAAAAAACAAAATTAAACCAAATAAATCAGTTTATTAAGTGATTATGAATCAGGCAACATCCTATCTAGCAAGTAGAGAGATGCTCCGAGTGGTACAAAATGGAAGTGGTACAAAAAGGGTTTTTCTAGGCAGGAGGGTGGGGCAAGAAGGTTATTAGGACAAGAAAAGGGTCATTTCAGCCCAGGACCTCTTCTATTTGGGGAGAAGGGAACAGTAGGATTTTTATCATGCAGATGACCTCACTAGTGCTGATCTGGAAATCTCAGACTGACTTTTATAAGGTCACATTCCTGGGATTGGTTGAGACTGTGAGCCTTGATTTGCTGTTGGGGGTGGGGGACAAATGACTCCAACTTGAGGTTTTGAAACAAAACAAAATACAACTAGATGCTGTTTCCAAGGTACACATCTAAAACATGAGTATAAAAGGCTGAAAGTAAAAGGATGGAAAATGGCATGCCTTGCAAATATTAACCAAAAGAAAGGTAGTGGGTCTTCTGCTTCTGGGTAGAGAATAGGTCATGGCAGGCTAACAGTCCTGCTGCAACAACTATAAAAACTAGATAAACTTTAAAAATCTGTATTTTAAAAATCTTTGGAGAGCTGTGGAGCAATAAGAATTAGATGCACTAAAATTTAAGTGGGAGAGGACCACCTAGTTGCAGTGATGATCATTAGTTGTTTTCCTTCTTGGTGGGCTTTGCTGAAATGCCTTAAGTGTTGAGGGACCAAAGACTTTCTAAGCTCTCAATCAAAGTCTAAGAGGGCCATGCCTGGAAACAGGGATAATTAATATTTTAAAGAAAATAGAGGAAAAATAGACAATACTTGATGTGGGACCACGAGCGAATGGTCAAGAAATAATTCTTGAGATGTTTTCAGTGTAAAAACATGCATTTTCTATAACATGAAGCTGGTGGTTATATGCTTAGGCTTAAGGGGGTGGGGATGTGCAGGGAGTATTAGATCATAAATGTCTTCTTCAAATTTCTACTTGTAAAACTGTCACAAGATTTCTCTTGTGCTTATCATTCAGCTCAATATTAACTATTGGAGAGATGTACAGGCAGTCATGAGACCGTTTAAGAATGTAGCAAGCAGCACATATTTGATCTTTATTGGAACTATGCAGGCTATAGGTCAGCCTTCTGGGCCAAAGGTGAACATTTTTCTGCTTCTATCCCTCATCATACTGATAAGAAGATGGAGAATTACAGTTGGAAATTGGAATCTATTTTTTAAAACTCAAATTCATTCTAAAATATTGGAAAATACAACACCTAAAATTAAAAACTCATTGGATGAATATAATTTCAGGCTAAACACTGCAAAAGACAGGATTAGGGTCAAGCAAATATATCCAAACTGAAGCATAGGAAGGAAAAAAATGAAAAGAACAGAGTAGAGTATAAGAGACAGGTGAGAGAAACACTCCAATTTTCCAAAACTGATGAACCATGTCAAGTCACAGATTCAATGAGCTAAGTATACCCAAAGCATATTAAATACAAAGAAAATTGCATGTAGGCAAATAATCAAACAAGAAAACTAAGGATAAAGAGAAAATATTAAAAACCAGAGGGAAAAATATACATTGCCTCCATAGGAACAAGATTGATAGCCAACTTTTCAATCAAACTACTAAAACAACACTGTCCAATAGAACTTTCTGTGATGATGGATATGTTGTAGATCTTCACTAATATGGTAACTACTAGTCATATGTGGCCATGGAGTACTTGAAATGTAGCTAGTGTGATTGAAGAATTGAATTTTAATTGTATTAAATTTAATTAGTTTAAATAGTCACACATAGCTGGTGGCTACCCATTTGACAGCACAATACTAGAAGATAACAGAATGATATCTTTAAAATGAAAAATACTGAAAGAAAAATGCTAACCTAGAATTCTAAACCCAGAGAAAACATTTGAAAATGAAGTTGAAATAAAGATGTTTTTAGAAAAACAAAAGCTGAGAGACTTTGACACAATAGACTGGTGCTAAAAAGTGCTAGGACATTTTAATATCCATATGGAAGAACATTAAATTGGATCCCTAACTTAGACCATACAAAAAACCCACTCACATTGGGCTATAAATCTAAATGTAAGCATAAAACTATAAATCTCAGAAAGAAAAATAAGAGACTATCTTAATAGCCTCGGGGTAGGGAGAGAATTGACATAGAAAAAGCACTAACCATGAAGGATTTTTTGATAAATTTCACTACATTAAAATTATGAACTATGCTCATCAAAATATAAAAAAAAGAATGAAAAGATTATCCACAGAATGTGAGATATTTGCAGCACAAAAGGCCAACAAGGACTCATATCAAGACTGTATAGAGGGGGCGCCTGGCTGGCTCAGTTGGTTAAGCGTCTGCTGTCGGCTCAGGTCATGATCCCAGGGTCCTGGGATCGAGCCCCACATCATTGGGCTCCCTGCTCAATGGGGAGCCTGCTTCTCCCTCTACTTGTGTTCCCTCTCTTACTTTATCTCTGTCAAATAAATAAAAACCTTTTTAAAAAAAAAAAGACTGTATAGAGTACTCCTTTGATTCAATAAGAAAAAAAAGATTACCCAATAGAAAAATTGGCAAAAACAACAACAACATCAACTTGGATAGGCATTCCAAAAACAGGAAATTCAAATAACTAGTATTCACAAGAAAAGATGCTCAACCTCATTATTAATCAGGGAAATGTGACATAAAACCACAGAGACACTGCTGTGCAAACCACTAGAATGGCCAAAAGTGTAAAAAACACAGTATCGAGTGCCTGTAAAGATTTGGAGTAAATGGAAAATGGTACAGCCACTTTGGAAAACAGCATGGTAGTAGCTACCAAAGCTGAACGTATGTATACTCAGCAACTCCACTCCTAGATATGTGCCCCACAGAAATGCACATATACATTCACCAAAAGATGTGTATAAGACGGTTCATAGCTGGGGAGAAAAAAGAAGATTCATAGCAGGAACAGGACTATGTTTAAGCACCAAAAATTAGAAATGACTCGAATGTTCATAATTTTGGTATATTCACACAGTGGAATACAAACTGTAGCTGCACACAACTATGTAGATGAATTTCACAACCATAATGTTGAGTGAAAGAAGCCAGAAACAAAAGAATGTATACAATATGGTTCTATTTACATACTTAAAAAACAGGCAAAACTAAACTGTATTCTTCAGGGAAGTGTACATAGTGGTAAAATTATGAAGAAAAGCAAAGAAATAATTATAAACATCATAATGGGGGTTACCTTTAGTGGGGAGGATGTATGTCATTGGAAAGGTACAGACAGTGAGCCTTCTGTGTTGCTGGTAATGTTCTTGATCTGGATGGTGGTTACATTTTTATACCAAAAACACTTATATTTTGTGTACTTTATAATTTTAGTTCACAATTTTAAAAGATTTTTAAAAAGATTTTATTTATGGGGCACCTGGGTGGCTCAGTCGTTAAGCGTCTGCCTTCGGCTCGGGTCATGATCCCAGGGTCCTGGGATCAAGCCCCACATCGGGCTCCCTGCTCCACGGGAAGCCTGCTTCTCCCTCTCCCACTTCCCCTGCTTGTGTTTCCTCTCTCACTGTGTCTCTCTCTGTCAAATAAAAATCTTTTAGATTTTATTTATTTATTTGACAGATGGTGAGAGAGACCACAAGCAAGGGGAGTGTCAGGGAGAAGGAGAAACACACTCCCCATGAGCAAGGAGCCCAAAGCGGGGCTCAATCCCAGGACCCTGGGATCATGACCTGAGCCGAAGGCAGATGCTTAATCGACTGAGCACCCAGGCACCCCTTAACAGATTTTCTAAATTTTTTTAAGTTTATTTATGTCATCTCTACACCTAACGTGGGGCTTGAACTTATAACCCTGAGATCAAGAATCACAGGTTCTACTGACTGAGCCAGCCAGGTGCCCCCAGATGTTTTTTTAAGTAAAGAAAAGTAGTCCAAGGATTGAACCCTGGGGCTGTCTTATATTGAGAATATGTTTATGACTCCTACGTACATTTAACATTCAACAAATATTTTTTGACCACCTACTATGTGCCAGACACTTGTTCCAGCTGCTGGGAATACAGCAGTGGACAAAACAGACAAAACCCCTGCTTTCATGGAACTTACATCCTAGCGAAGCCTGGAGAGAGAGTATGTCAGGAAGATGGGGTGGTTAACTATGCAAAATGTTGCTTAGTTGTCCAATAAGATGAGGACATAACAAAATTGATTATCAGCTTTAATAAGCCACTCACATGATTTGGATAGTGTCTCAATATGGATGATCTTCATCTAGATCTCTTGTGAGCTCTCAACCTCTGTATTTGCCAATTTAATTTACATAGCTGTCCCATGTGTTTAAAAACTGTATACCCCCACCTACTTCCCCAGGGTTGCCTATCTCAGTGAGTTGCATCACCATCCATCCACTTGCCCAAATCAGAAACCTGGAAGTACCTTTAATTCTTCTTTCTCCCTTCTCTGCTCTAATTCATCATCAGTTCTATGACAAGTGTCTCACATACAGGGAGGGCAAGAATGTGAGGTGTTTCTGGTCCATGAAGATATTGCTTTTCCTCTGCTTTTTTTTTCCCAGGGCTCAAGGTGTGGATGTCCCTCAGTTCAAGAAGGTGGTTTTCCAGGAATTTACTGATGGATCCTTTACTCAGCCCTTATACCGTGGAGAACTAAACAAACACTTGGGACTCTTGGGGCCATATATAAGAGCAGAAGTTGAAGACAATATCATGGTGAGTTGAGGACAGTGAAGTTATAAGAAAATTAATCCTACATATATATTTTTGTTTCTGATTATAAGAATAATGTATTCTTACTTTTGAAGAATTTTAAAGTATAGAAAATAAAGAAGTTGAAAAATAATCCCATAACTACCATTTTGGTGTATGTTCTCTTTGTCCTATGTATTCTTCTCTTTATGTGTTCAAAATTATACAGTGTGTAATTTTACCTCTTCTTTTTTTTTAAAGATTTATTTATTTATATTAGAGAGGGAGAGAGAATCCCAATGCAAGGCTGAATCCCACGACCCTGAGATCACAACCTGAGCCGAAACCAATCGTCAGAGGCTTAACTGACTGTGCCACCCAGGCACCCTTCTAACTCTTCTTTCTTGACTAAATATCATATTGTAAATATTTCTTATGTCATTAGAAAGACTTTCTAAATATCTTTTTTTAATGATGGCATAATAGTCTATTTATGTGAATTTATGGTATACTTAGCCATTTACTTTGAACAACCTTTTAAAAAGTTTGTTATGTTTTCACTAGTTCGATAATGCTGCAATCACAACCCTTTTCCTATAGGATAAAATTCCAGAAGTTCAATGTACATGAACATTTTAAGACTTCCTCTAATGAATTATCTGTTAATGTCCTTTGCACATTTGACCTTTTGAGGGAGTACTTTTCTTATCAATTTATATTACTTTATATGCTATATATTTTTCCAAGTTTGTCATCTTTTAATTTTATTTATAGCGGTTTTTTGAAATAAAACAGGTTTCAATTATTGGTAGTAACCCATAAATCTTTCCTTTATGACACGCACCTTTTATGTTTATAAAAATCCTTCCCTATAGAAAGATTTTTTTTCTTAAAATCACTTATACTTTCTTCAACTTTATTTTACAGTTTAATTGCTTAACATTTAACCTTTTAATCCCTAAATAATTCCTGTAGACTAGAAGTGATTTTGGTGCATTGTGTGAGCCAAAAATGAAAGTAGTTTTATTCTTTTCCAAAAATAGTCATCCATTGGCCCAATTGATTATTTACATTAAGGATATAGAAGGATCTAAAATTATGGAATTGTGAGCAGTTCTTTTTCTGTTTTGGTTCTTATTTTAGTTTACATATGTCCTATGAAACACGTATAATTTTTTGAAATCTGAAGTCTTTTTTAAAGATCATATGCTTCTTCTTTGCCGATTCGGATGCCTTTTATTTCTTTTTGTTGTCTGATTGCTGAGGTTAGGACTTCTAGTACTATGTTGAACAGCAGTGGTGATAGTGGACATCCCTGACGTGTTCCTGACCTTAGGGGGAAGCTCTCAGAAAAATGAAGGGGGGGAAATGGGAGGAGGAGACGAACCATGAGAGACTATGGACTCTGAGAAACAAACTGAGGGTTCTGGAGGGGAGGGGAGTGGGGGAATGGGTTAGCCCAGTGATGGGTTATTAAGGAGGACACGTACTGCATGGAGCACTGGGTGTTACATGCAAACAATGAATCATGGCACAACACATAAAAAACTAACGATGTACTGTATGGTGATTAACATAACATAATAAAATAAAAATAAATAAATAAAGATCATACGCATTCATCCTGGAATTGTCATAAGAACCATATGTGTTAAATCTTGGGCTTATGCTCTCTTAAAACCCCTGGGGTGATATTTTCCCTTTTACTTTTTAATTGCTTTTAAGTATTTAGGAATTTTCTCTTTTGCAACTTTGAGTTCATGCTTTAAATATTTTAGAGTTCAAAAATTCCTCAGTTTCCTCCATAGATAGACCCTTAGGTTTGGTCCTGACAACACCCGTCCTCTGTACCACTTCCTTTGGGTATTAAGAACTTGGATAGGGCACCTGGCTGGCTCAGTCGTTAAGCGTCTGCCTTCAGCTCAGGTCATGATCCCAGGGTCCTGGGATCGAGCCCCGCATCGGGCTCCCTGCTCAGCGGGCAGCCTGCTTCTCCCTCTCCCTCTGCCTGCTTGTGTTCCCTCTCTCAATTTCTCTCTGTCAAATAAATAAATAAAATCTTTAAAAAAAAAGAACTTGGATAAACTCAAAAATAGGCATTACTATTAGGGATGTGAACCCTAAGCCAAGGACTTTATATGATCCTAAAACATGATACTCGAATTCTTTTTTAAATTTTGTATTTACTTTTTCTCTGCAGGTAACTTTCAAAAACCAGGCCTCTCGTCCCTACTCCTTCTATTCTAGCCTTATTTCTTACGAGGAAGATCAGAGGCAAGGAGCAGAACCTAGAAGAAAGTTTGTCAACCCTAATGAAACCAAAATTTACTTTTGGACAGTGCAACATCATATGGCACCCACGAAAGACGAGTTTGACTGCAAAGCCTGGGCTTATTTTTCTGATGTTGATTTGGTAAGCAGGTGTACATTGCACTGGCCACTTACTGGTTTAAAAGAAATGGACTTCATGCTATCTGCTAAGAATTTTGCTATTGTAAGCTTAATGGGAAGCTTTCAATAGGAGAGGTGCCATCATTTTTGCGTTTGAGAACTATCACTCTGGAATCTACTAAACAGGAAGGATTGTACTATGGGAAGATAAGGAGTGGGTTAGAAATCTACACTGGTTCACAGGTGAGGGACCTTATATTCATAGGATTGATGTCTTCTCTCTCAGGAAAAAGATGTGCACTCAGGCTTGATTGGACCCCTTCTGATCTGCCGCAGCAACACACTGAATCCTGCTCACGGGAGACAAGTGACAGTGCAGGAATTTGCTCTGTTTTTCACTATTTTTGATGAGACTAAGAGCTGGTACTTCACTGAAAACCTGGAAAGGAACTGCAGAGCTCCCTGCAATATCCAGAAGGAGGATCCCACTCTTAAAGAAAATTACCGCTTCCATGGTAATATAGCCCACTCCCAATTATTACTCAGTGTGGAATGCAGCATGCACTACAACAGAGGAGCCTGGAGCCTGAGGCTTGCACAGTGTATGAATTGAGCTTATATGTATGGGAATGGAATCCTCATAGGAATCAATATTTTTTACTGGAGTAGAGGAAAAGAAACTTCTGTAACAGATTTCAACAGCCTTTTCTGTGTTCTCCTCCAGCAATCAATGGCTATGTGATGGATACACTACCTGGCTTAGTAATGGCTCAGGATCAAAAGATTCGATGGTATCTGCTCAGCATGGGCAGCAATGAAAACATCCATTCTATTCATTTCAGTGGACATGTGTTCACTGTACGGAAAAAAGAGGAATATAAAATGGCAGTCTACAACCTCTATCCAGGTATGAGCTAATTTGTGCTCTTTTTTTCTACCTACTGTACTTGAGTGCTTACTTTAATTGGTCTAGGCACTGGGGAAGCAATCCATGAACAAAGCAGACAAAGTCCCTGATCTCAGGTAACTTACTTTTTCAAGTAACTTTACCCTACAGAGACATAATAAATAAATTAGTCAATAAACATGATAATTTCAGATACAGATAATGTGCTATAAAGGAAATAGAACAGAAAAAAATGGATAATTAATGTTGTAGCACTTGCCTGGGAAAAGGGGATTTTCCCCCATCTCAAATCCCACACAGAGGTAGTAGTTATCCAGAGTGATTTGTTTATGTCTGTAACCAGTATATTGATTAAGCACTACTCACAATATTGATCAAAACACAGCTTTATTTTAGCTTTCCACTGTCCCTTTAAAACAGGTTTAATAGTGGGAGCAAACTTCCCCTGTTCCTGTGTAAAAATTCCAATAAGTTCAGTGACTTTTCTGCTCACTCTTAAGTAATAAACACCATGCAGTCACTTTACATCACAAATATAGTTCAAATCCAGAATTGCAATGTCCACTCCCAAGATGTCTACACTGGGAAAGGGAGGTGTGGTTGAGTCCTCTCTTCCTGTACCTGGCTGCTGCTTTGGTAAATGACAGGACAGTTCTTATCTACTTGCAACTGGCACCTTTATTCTAGGTGGTCACTTGTGACTCATTCCTCAGCTTCTTGCTGCTGGGGTTACTTTAGCCCTGAAGGCAGCCCTGGTGGACTAGGTCCACGAGGACCTCACCCTGACTTCCTTTTCCCAGGGAGTTCACATCTGGTCAATGGGGAAAACAAAAACAAAAACAAAACAAAACAAAAAAAACGCTTTGGCTCTGAAAAACCCTGAGAGTGCAGTGGCTTTCTCCTGTCTCCCCCACCAAAGCATGCCACCACCCTGTCTCTCCCATTTCCCAGGGGTCGGGGCTGTCAGAATTCAATCCCCAGTACCTCCAAACTGGAGGGGTCACATAGCAAGCATTTTGGCTTTGAGGGGTCCAACAGTGGAAGAACTGACTTAGGTAGATTTCCTTTGATGTTCTGCATAAACCAGTGTATCTCATGCTTTTTCAGTAAAATGAAATAATTTTTGTTGCTTTTGTTTTTGATAAGGTGTTTTTGAGACCGTGGAAATGCTACCATCCAAAGTTGGAATTTGGCGGATAGAATGCCTTATTGGTGAACACCTACAAGCTGGGATGAGCACTTTTTTTCTGGTGTACAGCAAAAGTAAGTAGCACTGTGGGCAGAGGCTCCCTGCCTACTCAGCCTATTTCTAAACGGCTTTCCTCCTTCCTAGGATGGCTGCTTTTGTCAAGAAATAAATACAAGCTCATAGTCATTAGCAAATCTACAATGAATATTGCTGGTAGAAATCAGCAGAGTCCTCAGAGAAGGGCAGATATGTTTGAAGCTTTGAACACTTTGAACCTGAAGCTCTAAATGTTTAACAAACTGGTGCTAAAAAGTAGCTTCATTCTCACAACTTTGTGAAGCTCCAAGATCTCCAAGAGCAAAATTTGAAACTGAATTTTGGTTCAGTTACCAAAGATAACTTACAAATATGGCTTGGAAGAGTTCAAGAGTTAACCCTAAACAAGTAAGAGAACCACTGAGTTCCTCAGCTGCAGAATGTGGAAGGTTCTAGCACCTACCGATTAGAGTGAATTAAGTGACATAGATAGTACAGTAAAATATTTAGTACAGTTCTCGGCAAATAGTAAACAATAAAAAATATTGACCATTTGTTGGTGTTCTCCCATTTTCATTGGCTTGCATTTGTGAAGCTCAATTTATGTACTCTGCTAGCTATCAGGCGCCTCTCCTTTGATTTCAGAGTGTCAGACTCCACTGGGAATGGCTTCTGGACGCATTCGAGATTTTCAGATTACAGCTTCAGGACAATATGGTAAATACCATTATTTTGTCTCCAAAAACTGGGCTGATTATATCTTTTTTTATTTCTGTTGGAGAGATTTAGATAACCTATCCATCTCCATGCTTCTATTAATTTTACTCTGTAAGTGCCTCTTAAATCCATTTTCTCTTCTCTGATTCCTACTGTTCAAGCTACTATCATTTCTCATTACCACCTCCTTAAATGTCCTACCTGCATTCCCTAGTGCTCCCCTTGAGTCCATTGTCTTCAGTGTGGCAGGAAGCTACACTTTTCTATGAGCAGTGATAGTAAAGCTTGAATATGATCTATTGACAGTTCTCAAATATTGTTTTAGAGCAACAGTGAGCAAACTATGGCCTACAGGCCAAATCTAGCCCACCGCCTGTTTTTATATAGCCTTCAAACTAAGAATTATTTTTCTAGTTTTAAATGGGCAGAAAAAGAAGAAGAATGTCTCATGACATGTGAAAATTATGTGAAATTCAAATTTCAGTGTCTGTAAATAAAATCTTATATTGACACATACAGCTCTACAACAACAGTTAAGTAGCTGAAACCAGATGATCTGCAAAGCCTAAATTATTTACTATCTGGCCATTTACAGAAAAAGGTTGGTCAGCCCCTGTTTTAGAGGGAACAAAATGCCCTTTTAAAACAAGGCCTGATGGGACACCTGGATGACTCAGTTAAGGATCTGCCTTCAGCTCAGGTCATGATCTCGGGGTCCTGGGATTGAGCCCCATGTCGCAGGGAGTCTGCTTCTCCCTCTGCCCCTCCCCCCTGCTCATGTGAGCTCTCTCTCTCAAATAAATAAAATCTTTAAAAAAAGAAAACAAGGCTTGAGAGTTATATGCCAAAATAGTATTATTTTTCTCTAGGCAAAAGGATGATTTTTTTTGACTTTCATTTTTACTTATGTTTTATTTTTCATTTTCTAACTTTTCTACAAGGAACATACATTGTGTAATGAAGAAACAATGATAGCATTTTGTAGTACTGGTAACACATTCCAGTATCACCTAATTAGAGGTGCTAACAATAAATGAAATTATTAAATTTAGAAAATAAAATATTATGCTTTATGCCTTTATCTTCTCTACACCTAGGCTTAGCCTTTCTCAAGAGAGCAATTTTAGGGGCACCTGGATGGCCCAGTCTGTTAACTGACTCTTGATTTCGGCTCAGATCATGATCTCAGGGTCCTGGGATGGAGCGCCTGTGAGTCAGGCTCCCTGCTCAGCAGGGAGTCTGCTTGTCCCTCTCCTTCTGCCCCTCCCCCCCCCCCCCCCCCCCCCCATGTGCTCCCTCTCTCTCTCTCAAATAAATAAATAAATAAAATCTTAAAAGAAGAGAGCAATTTTATTCCTAAGTGTCTAGGAGCAACACAGCTGAATCTAATCTCTCTCCTTTCTTGGGCAAAGGACAGTGGGCCCCAAAGCTGGCCAGACTTCATTATTCCGGATCAATCAATGCCTGGAGCACCAAGGATCCCTTTTCCTGGATCAAGGTTAGAAAGTGCATCACATTCAATCACAACATGTATTCCTCTTGCAAGCTCAAAAGTCATTTTTATCAAACTCCAGGTAACTGACAGGGAAAGAACTGAAGAATAGAATAGCTTCTGATTTGTACAAAAATAGTCAAGAATGAAGAATAGAATATTTGGGAATAGAATTGAGTATGCTGATTTGTTTGTTAGTCCAATCTGGTAAACTAACTTGGAGCCAGTGACTGAAACAGTGTCTTTAGGGTTACTCAACTTCTTTTTAAATGACTAAATCTTTCAAATTTTCTCACTTTCCCATTCCCTCTAGAGCAGCGCTGTCCAGTAGAAATGTAATCGAACCACAAATGCAAACCACATGTGTAATTTTATATTTCCTAGTAGCCACATTTAAAAAGAAACATGTGAAATTCATTTTAATGATATATTTCATCCAACATACCCAAAGATTTTATCAAGTGAAAATGGGGTCATTCAGGGCTCTGGCCCCTCTAAGGGCATACATATGGGGACTTGTGGGTCCCTTCCATGCTTCATGAGAGCTGAGGGTAGTGTAAAAGTGCCAGCTCAGCCTCTCGGCCTAACTGCGAGAGTTGTTCCCTCTAGAGCCCGAATGTGCCTCCCACCTCTGGTACTTACAGCCGGAAGAGGAGTACTGCACACATGCCTTACCACCTATGTTCCCCATCTCTGTCCACTTTTCATTGTGCACCAGCTTTCTTTCCTCTTCTGAGTTGACCAAAGACATTCCCCTACGTATTTTCCTCCTTTGCAAGATTGCATCTACTCTTCTATTTTCTCTTGAGGTTAAAATAATAAATAGGAATCAGGGAAAGATAAACCAGTGTCCCATCAGCTCACCTTATTTGGTTTGTTTTGTAGGCACTGCCAGTTATGACTCAATTTGAACTGACTGTTCATGAATTCCTAAGTATTTTTGTTTCTTTGTGAAGCTGCCAAACCATATTTTCTGACCTTGTATTTCTCTGGTTTTCACTTTCAACCTTACATGTGTCCCTGGGTAGTGGACACTGTCATCTACTTGGGTGCCCTGCATCTGTCATTCCATTTATTTATTTATTGTGATAGCATTGTCATTTCCATTTGGGGAATTCTGTCTCCTTCACTGGATACAACCTAATGAGACTAGTAAATAGAGTGCCTTTTCCATGCCTAGCCAAAGAACCTGAGTAATACACCCTGTTAAGTTTCCACTTACTAGATTTGGCCCATTGTTCCAGCTTATCCAACTTCTGTCTCCCAAAGAATTTCTTAGTCTTCCCAGTTTCACAGAATTTACTGCTTGATCAGTTAATGTTTTTATACTTTAGCAAATTCATGATCAAAATATTGAAGTAGACAGGGCTTCCTTACTGTGTGCTTTAAACAAGCCCAAGCTATCAAATCCTTACCACACTGTTATTATCATCCTCATTTCAGATAAGAAAGCTAAAGCAAAGCAAGTAACTTGCCCTAAGTCATACAGCCAATAAGTGGCTGAGCCAAACTTCAAACTGTGATAGTTGGGGCTCCAGAGGCCTAATTTGTAATCATTATACTATACTGTTTCTAGAATGCTCCCTTTAGATTGATAATCGTCTATTAACTACCACAGTTTGCTTTTGGTAATTGAACCAGTTACAAATCCACCTAGTTGTATTATCACCCAATCTGTATTAAATCACCTCATCCTCAGGGTGTTTTTTTACCATCTGTTCTACTAAAGCCCAGGTATACATTTTCTTGATCTGGTAACTTTATAAATACCCCAGAGAAATAAAGAATTATGGTGACTTAACAAAAAAAAAAAAAGAAAGAAATGGTTCTAGGGAGCCAGGGAGGCAATCAGAGATGTCTAGCTGCAATGTTTGTATTTGTACACTGAGTGACTCATTACTGCTTTGCTTACTTCCTTGAGAGATCTGTCTTGTCACAGTCAAATACATGGCTGGATACACAGGTGAAAATGTTGACTCTGTAATTGCCAAATTCCTCCAAGTTTCCAATTATAATATAGACAAGGCACAACAAGAAGATGAAGTAGATAAGATTGGCAATTTGCCAAGAATTCATCAGTTACAGAATGTAGGTGAAAAAGGTGGCTGGCCAGACTTTATTAAAACTGCTAGGGGTGCCTGGGTGGCTCAGTCGTTAAGCGTCTGCCTTTGGCTCAGGTCATGATCCCAGGGTCCGGGATCGAGCCCCGCATCGGGCTCCCCGCTCAGTGGGAAGCCTGCTTCTCCCTCTCCCACTCCCCCTGCTTGTGTTCCCTCTCTGGGCTCCCAGCTCAGCGGGGAATCTGCTTCTCCCTCTCCACTCCCCCTGCTTGTGTTCACTGTCTCGCTGTCTCTCTGTCAAATAAATAAATAAAATCTTTAAAAAAATATTAAAAAAAAACCGTTAGAAAGTGCAATAGTCAGTGGTCCAAAAAAGAGCTCTCATATACTACATGAAGAAATAGTATAAGTCATTTCAACAAAAGTCGTAATTTTTGCACCTGGTACTTTCAGTTGTTTATGCCACAATACCAAGAGGAAAAATGTAATATCTTCATTTGGGAGTATCATGTAATCTGGGCCAAGATAGTGCTGTAGCTTCTGAAGACCTTGCCACTCTCTGTCCTGTTACCCTGCTTCTTTTTCTCCTGTCCTTATCACTACTTGATGCTGTATATAAATAAAAACATATATATGATATGTAGTCTGTTTTTCCAAGTCAAATGTAAGTTCCATTAAGGCAGGGCTTTTTTTTTTCTCCCTTCTTCACTGCTCTATTCCCAGTACGTAGAGCAGTGCTTAGCACATAACAAGTACTCAAAATATATTCTTTGAATGGATGGATGGATGGATGGATGGAAGGAACTTACTGAAAGAGACAGTCATTAAGCTCAAGTGTTATTACCAATCCAATTTGGGTGCACCAGGCATCTGTGACAAGTTAAGTTTGACTTGCTTGTTAGGGCAGTAACTGATGCCAAAATTCCTATACTAGATACTGCCTTGTAATGCTTTCGTGGTCCAGTCATTTCGTGGGGATGGGGAAAGAAAAACAAATTCCTTACCACTCTACCATTATTCACTCATTCATTCCAAAACATTTGCTGTGCATCAGTATTATACCAGATGCCATGTTAAATACTGGGGCTAGAAAAAATATAAAAGCTAATAACATTTATTAGGTGTTTAGTATGTGTCAGGCACTGAACTCAGCACATTACGTGTATTAACCCTTTAATCCTTTGCTATAAACACCATTATCATTTCCACTTTACTGATAAAGAAATTGAGACACAGAGAGGTTAGGTTCACTGCCTTAAGGATCTCAGTGTAACAAGGAAGGCAGATAAGGAAAGAAAGCTTTATAATATAGTACAATAATATGCTCTAATGAAGTTGTATACAAAGTGAAGTAGAAGCATAGAGAAAGTATTAAATTTGGGTGAGTCAGGAAAGGCTAACCAGGAGAAATAGTTTCTGAACTGACACTTGAAGGAGGGACAACAGTTTATAGTGCTGACAGTGATGTTGGGAGGGGGACTGGCCTGGGGAGAGCAGAGGAAATTGGTTTTGACTAGGCTGAGGCTGAGGTGTAGGCAAAGCACTAGGTTATGTGGGTCCATATGTGCAGCACATTGATTTGAAAGTGGTCTGGTTTGTTGGAAGTAGCCTGGGAACCCACCACTAAGCACCTTTCCTTTTTGTTCCTGTCATTTATCTCACTGTTTCACACAAATCCAAGGTACTACTGAGCATATCTGTATTGATGTAGATCCTTCTCAAGCCAATAATTAATTTCAGAAGGCCGTACGTACATTTAAAATAAAGTGTTGTTTCAATTGGTAGGTGGATCTGTTGGCACCAATGATTATTCACAGCATCATGACCCAGGGTGCCCGTCAGAAGTTCTCCAGCCTCTACATCTCTCAGTTTATCATCATGTATAGTCTTGATGGAAAGAAGTGGCAGAGTTATCGAGGGAATTCCACTGGGACCTTAATGGTATGTAATTACTTCTTTCAAGAGAGTGCATGAATCTTTTAAAGAGCTTTTGACAAAGATTTCATATATGGAACAAACACTCCTAGCTTCTACAAACTTAATTCCAAAAAAGATTTTTCAACTTATGGGCAAAAGAGTGATTATGGACATATGAGTAAAAAGTAGTAGCATCAAAGATCTCATAGATAATAGAAATGAAGAGATGTTCTGTTGACAGAAATATGTGATTAGGATTGAGTGGATTGATAACATTATGGGTTTGCTTATGGATATTTTCAGTTTGAGATGATAGCAGGGCAATCAGGTTGAATGTCCAGCAGGCAGGAGATTAAAACTTGAGTTTAGGGAAAAAAAAAAAAAATTGAGTTTAGGGGGGCAAAACCATGAATGGACGTGATTTGTGTCTTCCACATAGAGGAATGGGTGAAACCTTGGGAAATGATCACAAGACCCTAAATTAAACAGGCTTGAAACCTTAGTATCATTGTCTACTCTTCCCTTATTTTCATGCCTCCTGATGAATTGGTCCACAAATCCAGCAATTCTTTCTCATATCTCTTCTGTTTCATTTATACTGCTGTTACTATTGCCTTCATTCCTAACTAGTCATCTCCTGTATCTATTCTCTTCTCTAATAAAAGCTGCACATCATTTTTGCGATAATCATTTTATCAGCCCCCTGCTAAACCTTTCAGTCTCCCTTTTTTCTTTAGAATAAAGTTCAAAGTCCTCAAATGGCCCTGGGCAAGATAACTCCTGTTTTCCCCTTTAGATCCATGGTTCTACTTCTCTACCCTGCTTCTTGTTCTGTGAGCCTGACCTGTGTGGAATACATCAACAAGCTACCTTATCCTCTAGCTTTTGGGAGCACTGGCAAGAGAGCAGAGGAAGGAAGGAAAGTAAGACTAAAACATTTATTCTTGGGGCACCTGGCTGGCTCAGTTGGTAGAGCATGGAACTCTTGATCTCGGGGCTGTGAGTTCAAGCCCCACGTTGGGGGTAGAGTTCACTTAAAAAAAAAAAAAAAACATATATATATATATATATATATAAAAGATATTTATTCTCCTGGTACCCTCCTTGTAGAGGATTTGGCTGTATCTCTCCACTGAAGGTCACTGCTCCCTTCAGAGTGGCTTTCTCTCTCTGGTCCAGTTACTATCACTGAGTACCAAACCACCCCAAAACTTAATGTCATAAAAACAACCATTCTGTTTTGTTCACTGATTCTATGGGTCAGGACTTTTAGCACAGTAGAGATAGTTAGCTGTGCTCTGCTCAGCTGGGGGCTGGAATCATCTGGAAGCATCTTCACTTGCATGTCTGGTAGTTGGTGCTGACTAACCTAGCTAAGACAGCAGCTGGGGCTGTTGACTGAAGCAACTCTATATGGCCTTCCATGAGATCTAAGCTTCTCAGACCATGGCAGTTTCACACATCCACCAAGATTCAAGGGAAAGGGACATAAACCCTACTTCTCAGTGGGAGGAAAGTAAGGAATTTGTGGTCATTTTTATAAACCACTATAAGAATCTACCTAATTTTCTCCTTTAAGATTCTGCTCCCACTCCTTCTTCCACCAGGCCTAGGGATGACAATACCCTGCCCCCAACTACCTACCTAGTACCTTTATTAAACTTTTCTCAAATTATTATAATTTGAGTGTTCCTTGTTTCTTGTTCAAACTCAGTCTTATACAGTAATTAATGCCAGAATTAGCCCTAAGAAACATACCCTCAAAATGGAATTCTAGGATTAGATGGAATTCTAAGATTGGATGTTGGGTAATCCACGATATGTGCTGGTATCACAATTTCTCAGATTATCTATCACCAGTGATACTATGGGATGCATTACAGATGGTGAGAAGGACATTGGGAGACTCAATTGACAGGGGCATTTAGTCACTATAGCAAAAACTGTAGCATCAGCTGATTGTAGAGTGGCCTGTCAACCTCTTATAGCCCTTCTTTTTATGGCATACATAGGGAAAAATAAATTACATGTTATGAATATACACAAGAACACCCATGAACATACATGGAGAATCAGGACACATCCATGGAGCTCTAAAAGGAGTCTTCCATATCCTGTGCTTGTAGACAAATACTTAGACTTGAGACCAAGTCTAAGGTCCGAGCATATGAATTGCAGACGTGGAGTGACAATTAAATGGTCCACCCCATCAGCTCTGTTATGCTAAGGTAAGGGTACCGGTGGAAAAAAGTGGAACTCTGAGACCTGGGATGGGTACATTTACACAGACATGGATGAGGCTGAGACCTGCCAAGCTCCAAGTCCCCCCGAATCTCCTTGCCTGAGGAGGCAGCCTTTCCCAAGTCTCTGAGGCAGTCATCTTTTCTCTGCATAAAAGTCTTTCAGTGACTACACCTGGAATAGTTGCCTCACGAGGCAGTGTCTAGTCTCCTCAGGGCCCCTGTTTGGCAGATGAGTCATGGCGAAATGACAGATATCACAAATGTTAGTCAGGTGGTGATAACAAAAACTTTGCAATTCCAGAGGTGGTATCTTCTCTGGAGCAAATTAACACAGCACTAGGCACCGGATATGGATGGAACAACTGACCTAGAAACTGCTTTTTCCTTCATTCCCATTGATAAGCAAAGTCAGAATAGATTTGCATTTACAAGGTGGGAACAAGAGTATTCACTTTACTATTCATGTCTGAGGACAGTGCCAGCTCCCTTGTTCTTTGTTGTACTATAGACCCAAGGGACTCCAAACATCTTGACATCTCACAGAATACCGTACTGGTCCATTATATTGATAACATTATGCTGGCAGGTCCTGGTAAACAGGAAATAGCAGTCACCCTGAATGCTTTTGTGATTAATATGCATAAATACACAGAGAGACACTATATATACATATATATAAAACAAAGAAGCCTATCTTTTCTTGACTTTACTGTGAATGGATCCCATATTTCACTGTTTAATGTTCACTGTTTCAAACAAACACTTTTTATCACATTTACAAAGTTTCTTTCTACTTCTGTTTTATTTAGAATGGCTGCAGAGTTTCGTCAAATGTTGTTTCAGCATCTTTGGTATGATCACACTCAGTAGTGTGCTGGTGAATGTTAAACAGCTGGTGCTGCAGCAAATGGGGGCGGGGAGGGGGAGGTGTGGTGGTTTCCATGATGTAGACTCCCGTCAGACCTGATTTCAAGCTGCTGATGTAATGTCATTGAATTCAGAGGTAGATAGAATTTTTCTACCTATACTAATCAGTAAAATTGGTTTACCTTTTTCAGGATCTCTATTTATGAGGTTTTGGCATGAGAGTTATATTAAACTTGAAAATAAAGTAGAAAAGCTTCCATCTTTTCCCATTACCTTATTGATCTAGAATAGCTTCATTAATGTAGTAATCATGTGTTTAATCAAAGTTAGGTGGGAATGCCACTGAGCTTTGTGCCTTACTTAGTGCTAAATGCTTGGCTATCTTTTCCATTCCTTATCTGAGTACTGTTATTCTCATTTTCCATTACCCGTAGCTAATTGCTGTGAATGTATACATTCGAGTTCTGTCTCCTTGCATATGCCATAGAACCACATCTACATACACACATTTCTCTCTTTACCAGAGTGGGTGTTTGTCTATTCTATTGGATTTTCAAAGAATCAATTCTTGGTCTTAAAATCAAACATAGATTTGAAGTTGTTTTTGTTTTTTTTTAATAATTTACTTTATTGAAAGTCTAGTAATTTATTTATTTTTACAGATTTTATTTATTTATTCATGAGAGACAGAGAGAGAGAGAGAGAGAGAGAGAGGCAGAGGGAGAAGCAGGCTCCCAAGGAGCAGGGAGCCTGATGCGGGACTTGATCCCAGGACCCTGGGATCATGACCTGAGCCGAAGGCAGACGCTTAACCATCTGAGCCACCCAGACGCCCTGAAGTTGTTTGTTTTTTAAAGATTTTATTTTTATTTTTTTTTAGAGAGATTGAGAGCATGAGCAGGAAGGAGAGGGAGAGAGACTCTACAGCACACTTGTGCTGAGTGCTGAGCACAGAGCGCTGATTGGGTCTTGATCCCGCAACCCCGAGATCATGACCTGAGCCGAAACCAAGAGTCAGGTGCTTAACTGATTGAGACACCCAGGTGCCCCTGAAGTTGTTTTCTAATTCATTAATTTCTGTTCAAAACTTTAAAAATTCTCTTTTCCTTTCTTTTGGTTTTTTGTTTCCTAGAACCTGGAGTTGAATGACCAGTTGATTTATTTTCAGTCTTTCTCATTCAATATGATGAAAGAGTTATTAATTACTCTCGGGGCGCCTGGGTGGCTCAGTTGGTTGGGCGACTGCCTTCAGCTCAGGTCATGATCCTGGAGTCCCTGGATCGAGTCCCACATCGGGCTCCCTGCTCAGCGGGGAGTCTGCTTCTTCCTCTGACTCTCCCCCCTCTCATGTGCACTCTCTCTCATTCTCTCTGTCTCAAATAAATAAATAAAATCTTTAAAAAAAAAAAAAATAATTACTCTCATGAAGGTCATTCATCTGACAGCTACTGAGTAACTACTATGTTCTAGGTTCTAGTAAAGGGATGGATAAGCTAGAGCCCATCTATAGGTTTGGACCACCACCTGCTTTTGTGTGGACTATGAGTTAAGAATGATTTTTACAGGTTTAAAGTTGCAAAACAAAGATTATGCAATAGAGATCACTTGTGGCCTGAAAAGACTAAAATATTTCCATCTGGTCCCTTACAGAGAGTTTGCAGACTGCTGGTCTAGTGTAATGGCAGTAGAGATGCCTAGGCAGTTACCATTAACCAGAACCCTTCCATCCCAGAGTGTGCCTAATGTGGAGATTTCATTCTTAGTCATCATCCTCCAGTGTAGTGATTCTCAAATGTTTTTATATATTTATTTCATTCACATACAAAATATTTTTCATCAGCAATATTTCTCATCACAGATGTCCCACGTAAAGAGGGAGAGGGGAACCTTAAGGACCACTGCTTCACTGCCACC